GGATTCAAACCCGCCACCCTCAGTATATGGGGCCGGCACCCTACCCACTGAGCTACAGGCACCGCCCTTGTCTAAATGCTTAACCGTTATGAACATAATTATATTTCTGTGGTTGAAGAGCTATCTTCCCAACTAGATTGTAAGCTTCTTGAAGGGAGGGAATTTGGCTCTTTAGTAAACATAGCTCTTTAGTGAACTTTTGTGGAGACACTGGATGAGCCAGTGATAGTCTTTTAATTCATTATAGGAACTAAAAGACTTGGATTCCAATTCTGTTTTTGCCAGATGTGTGACCTTGGAAAAGTCATATCACCTCTCTGCACCTCAAATTAAGTATCAGTAAGGTGTAAATACCTGCCTCAGCTACCTTTCAGGGGTTTTTGTGAGGTCCAAATGATGTAATGTATATAAAATTGCTATCTTATTACTTTTTTTTAAATTCACTTTTTTGTCATTCAGTAGCCTGTTGTATTCATGGAAGTTCAGAGTTGCTGCTACCTGGGTATCTCTAATTCTAGACTAGACTTTTTAGTCCCGTTTAGGCCTATTTATTCCAATGTTATTGAGAAATAATACTAATAATACTATTAGGTTGGGTGGGTGGCTTAGACTTGTAATCCCAGCACTCTGGGAGGCTCAAGCAGGTGGATTGCTTATGCTCATGAGTTTGAGACTAGCCTGAGTATGAGACTCCCTTCTGAGAATGAGACCTCCTTCTCTAAAACTACCTAGGCGTTATAGCAGATGTCTGTAGTCCCAACAAATCAGGAGCTATGATGCCGGGGCACTCTACTGAGGGCAATAAACTGAGACTCGATCTCAAAAAAGAAATAATACTGTTAATTGGAGTAAAGAACTAAAAATACACGTGATAAAATCATAGTAATTTATATGGGGTAATCATCTAATACTAGACAAAATAAGGTTATAGAAAACATTAACCTATAGCAGAGGTACTAAGTTGGCAGTGGGTGCTTGAAACACTGTGATAAGGCAAATAATTTTTTTTTTTTTGAGACAGAGCCTCAAGCTGTCCCCCTGGGTAGAGTGCCGTGGCATCACAGCTCACAGAACCTCCAGCTCCTGGGCTCAAGCGAGTCTCCTGCCTCAGCCTCCCAAGTAGCTGGGACCACAGGTGCCTGCCACAACGCCCTGCTATTTTTTGGTTGCAGCTGTCATTGTTGTTTGGCAGGTCTAGGCTGGATTCAAACCCATCACGTTAGGTGTATGTGGCTGGCACCTTAGCCACTTGAGCCACAGATGCCGAGCCAATTTTTTTTTTTTCACACAGTCTCAGTAACCCTGGGCAGAGTGCTGTGGCATCATAGCTCACAGCAACCTCAAACTCCTGGGTTCAAGTGATCCTCTTGTCTCAGCCTCCTAAGTACCTGGGACTACAGGCACCACTATAAGGCCTGGCTAATTTTTCTATTTTTAGTAGAGACATGGTCTTGCTTTTTTCAGGCTGGTCTGGAACTCCTGAATCCAGGTGATCCTCCCACCTCAGCCTCCCAGAGTGCTAGGATTAGAGGTGTGAGCCACCATGCCTGGCCATGAGAAGAAAAAGTCTGATGCTAGGCCTGGGTGGGAAGAATGTTGTGCTTGATTATCGATATGTACATTTGACAGAGAATTCAAGCATGGCAACACGTATATCATCCTGGACACCTTGTTTAATTTTAAAAGCATTGGAAACCTAGTCTCTTTGCCTTAGTGAGTGTTGTAGATGTTTTAGAGAAAATTCTCATTAGTTTCTGGCATTCAGAAGCCAAGTTGACTCTTGCTGGGCAAACTGGATTTAAAGCAGCCACACTGAGCTAATGGTGTAGCATCAATTTCTGACACCGAAGGACACTATTAATTTATGCTCTTGTCAGAAAACCCGAGGGCAGGAAAGAAAGAGGTTGTTTTCCCCAGTCATTTTTTTTCCTTTAAACCTATAGCACCCAGTACTCCCAGAATGTCTCCTATACAAGTACTAATGAGGCCCAGCCCTGATTGGCTTTGAAGGTCAGAGGATCAGGGATATTCAAGGTGGTATGGCCACAGATGACTTTGCCAGGCCTTCAAACTGTGTTTCCTAAACTTTGGTGCTGGTTCCTAAACTTTGTTGTATATAATCATTACTCAGGGATAGGCATAAATACATATGTTATGGGGTCTGAAGCTCTTACAGTTTGGGAGAAATTTCTTTCTTTCTTTTTTTTTTTTTTTTGAGATAGTCTTATTCTGTCGCCCTTGGTAGAGTGCTGTGGCATCATAACTCATAGCAGCCTCAAATTCTTGGGCTCAAGTGACCTCCTAACCTCAGCCTCCTGAGTAGCTGGGACTTCAGGTACCTGCCACAACAACTTTAAAATTTGCTGGAGTCTTTTTTTTTTTTTTTTTTTTTTTGAGACAGAGCTTGAAAATCATTACAGATTTGTGATCAGAAACCACAGTAGAGGTGGTACAACTTTTTTCTTTCTTTTTTTTTTTTTTGAGACAGAGCTTCAAACTATCACCCTGGATAGAGTGATGTGGCGTTATGGCTCATGGCAACCTCCAACTCGGGCTCCAGCAATCCTCTTGCCTCAGTTTTTGTATTTTTAGTAGAGACAGGGGTTGCTTTTGCTAAGATTGGTCTCGAACTTGTGAGCTCAAACAAACTACCTGCCTTGGCCGCCCAGAATGCTAGGATTACAGGTGTGAGCCACTCTGCCTGGCCTAGAGATGGGGTCTTGCTCTTGCTTAAGCTGATCTCAAACTCCTGAGCTCAAGCAGTCCACACACCTCAACCTCACAGAGTGTTAGAATTGCAGGCATGAGCCACTGAGCCTGGCCGGGAGAAATTTCTTAAAGAAAAACAATAGAAATTTTAAAAATGTAAAATAATTTAAAAGGCCGTGAATAGGGCCCATAGGTCCTGAAGCTTAAACTTCATTAAATTTCTACTTAGGGAGGTTGTTAGAAATCTTAAAAATAAGCTTACTGGCTTCACTCTACACATTCTGATTTAGTATATCTAGGGCCCCAGAGAGAAATATATTCAATAAGCATCTTATTGTGTTATGACTGGGCTGATATTAAGAAAACATAAATTTCCTGGGGCGGCGCCTGTGGCTCAGTGAGTAGGGTGCCAGCCCCATATACTGAGGTTGGCTCGTTCAAACCTGGCCCCAGCCAAACTGCAACCAGAAAAGAAAAGAAAGAAAAAGAAAACATAAATTTCCATTTTTGATGTATAAAAGAACTATTCACTTTTGCTTCATATCTGAAGCAGTTGTCTATCTCCCAGCACTTATATATTAACCCTGTTGTCTCTAAGAAAATAATATTAACCACACAGAAAGCACTTTCCTTCTCAGGCTGAGAGGCAGGTTGGGATTCAGCTGTCCCACATTTCTGGCTTCCCTTCCTTTGCTTTCTCCACCACCACTGGCGCTGGCACAGCTTCCTGGCTCTTACGCATCGACACTGAAGAGAGAAAGTGACTAATATTAGCTTTAAGTGGCTGGTGAGCATTTGGTTGTATACTAAACTTCATGTCAGGCAAATAAAGGGAATCACCTATTATTTATTTATTTATTTATTTAAACAGAGTCTCACTTTGTCGGCCTCGGTAGAGGGTCGTATCATCACGGCTCACAGCAACCTCAAACTCTTGGACTTAAAGGATTCTCTTGCCTCAGCCTCCCAAGCAGCTGGGACTACAGGGACCTACCACAATGCCAGGCTTTTTTTTACAGATGAAGTCTCCCTCTGGCTCAGGCTGGTCTTGAACCTATGAACTCAGGCAATCCACCCATCTCTACTTCCCAGAGTGCAAGGATTACAGGCATGAGCCACTTTTAGAGATGAGGTCTTGTTCTGGTTCAGGCTGGTCTCGAACCTATGAACTCAGGCAATCCACCCATCTCGGCCTCCCAGAGTGCTAGGATTACAGGCGTGAGCCATCGCAACCAGCCTGAATCTTTTCTTTAGAATAGAAGATTTCCTAGGTCTGGGTGCAATGACTCTATGGCACTATACCAAGGGCGACAAAGTGAGACTTTGTCTCAAAAAAAGAAAAGATTCAGTTTTATTGGGTTTGTTTGTTTGTTTGTTTGGGGCTTTTTTTGCAGCTTTTGGCCAGGGCTGGGTTTGAACCCACCACCTCTGGCAAATGGGGCTGGCACCCTACTCCTTTGAGCCACAGGCACCATCCAGTTTTATTTGTTCTATCCTACCTAGAGAATGTCCAAGTATAGCACAGGAAAGTAATTTGCATTGGTGGTGCCTGTAGCTCAGTGGGTAGGGTGCTGGCCACACATACCGAGGCTGGCAGGTTCAAACCCAGCCCAGACCAGCTAAAACAACGACAACTGCAATAACAACAAAATAGCCAGGCATTCTGGTGGGTACCTGAAGTCCCAGCTACTTGGGAGGCTGAGACAAGAGAATTGCCAGCAGTTTGAGGTTGCTGTGAGTTGTGATGCCACAGCACTCTACCCAGGGAGACAGGTTGAGACTCTGTCTCAAAAAAATAAAAAGTAACTTGCATTTAATGAGCAGCTTCTATGTCCCAGGCACCTTTTATGCAGTATGCCAACCTTCACAACTACCATAAGAAACAAATATCATGAGACCTATTTTATAGATGAGGCAACTGAGGTTGGAAAAATCCAGCAACTTTCCCAAAACTGCTCAGTAAGTGAGTAGGAGTAGCAGATCTGTCCAAACTCCAAAGTCTGTGTTTTTCTCATTATGCCATGCTACCTCTGGAATAGAAGGAAGTCTTTATAGGTCAAGTTCAAGGACCCAAAAGTTTAAGGACCCAAAATGGCAAACTTACAGGACACGGAACTTCAAAAATTACGAATATTATAATGGCAACTCCAGTGAGCAGCAGGATGAAAGCAATTACAATTTTGACCACAATACTCCATTTCTGCCTCTTCTTGAGGTTCTCATCTATGTCTAAAGAAGAGAGAGGAATGGAAGAGGGGGGAAAAAAAGAATTTAAGAGAGGGAAGAGATTGACCCTTTGACTTGAAGTTCTCCTGTCTCACAATACTAATAGGGGCCAAGCCTTATCCAGAGGCAGAGGCTGAATTTCCAATTCAAACTCAAAATCAGAAATGGGGTGAGCATCATAAGATCTGCTCTAATCTCTTTTGTAGCCTCTTTCGAATGAGTTACCTTTCCTGGTGTTAATAATATTTCATTGTTATCTGGGGCTGATTCTTGCATTGCTCTCAGGGGAAGAAAAGGCTTGGGTACACAAGGAGTTCTAAATGTATTTTTCACCATCAAATCTGGAGTTTCTACTTTAATATTTTGGAGATTGGAAAATCACCTTTCCTTTGCTTCCTTTGGCATTGCTTCTGGGTCATAAGCCAAATCTGGTGGCAAGTAGCTTATATGCATCTTGTTATTAATAATCTCATATTAACCTTTCCCCTAGTAAAAGCTGAGATGTAACCCCAACTAGAATGTTACGGAATTTGAGTCCTGGCCAATTTAGGGAGCCCTATTTCTAGAGCAAAAATGAAAACATGTACTTGATTTGGTGTCATTACTGTTATAATTGCTTAGTATTTAAATATTATCCATCTATAATGCAATGACTGAAATTATCTGCCATTGAATGTGTATGATTATTCTGTCCCTAGATCTGGTTATGCTCATTTGCATGGAGGTAAAGGATCATTGATAGGGTCAAACTACAAACATTGAGAAGCTGATTTTTTTTTTTTTCCATAAGAAACAGAATGGTTTCCTAATATAAACTCTGTAACTTCTTAAGGTCCAGGAAAATCCTAGGAGGCCTAGACTAATGTTGGGGCTAAAGATATTTCTTTCTCTTTCTGTTCTTGTTTTATTCCTACTTATTCTGTACTTTGTTGTTTCAAGGGGCTTAGAAAAATTACCTATAGTGGTAGTTTTCTCTTTTTTATTCCCAGGAGTAATGGAGTTGGGAGAGGTGGGAAAAGTCTCTGATGAAGCCCCCATCTCTGGATAGAACTTACATTGGGAGATTCCTGGTAAAAAAGCTGTAAAACAAGAAAGAAACAAAGGATAGCTTTAGGAAAAATGTTATCTTGTCTTTGATTTTAGTGACTAAATTCTAGCTCTACCCAGGTAATATAAACTTCTAATTATAGTTCCATTGACCTATCTGTCCATAGGTTTAGGGTGTGAGCACAAAATAATGCCAAGAATAAATGAGGGTAGAGATACTAATACATAGGAGATAAATTCCTATGGAACATTTGACTAACATAGGATCAGAGTGAAGGAGCAGACCATATCTGGTTTGGCTATCAGTCATAAGACCATAATAACAATAAAGATGGAGGGCGTAACATCATTGAAAGTTTCCTTCTTTTAAAAAAGGTGGCTCCAAAGTCCAAGGGAGAACACGAAATACAATTTGCCTTAATGACTGCTGCACGTCAGTTTAGTGGGGTCTAAATCAACTACTCTGAGAGGGGATTAGGGAAAGCAGGAAGAGTTGGGAGAAAGAAAGCCTATGACATTTAAACATTCTGAAATGTTTAAAAAATGAATATATAAGCCTGAGCAAGAGTAAGACCTCATGCCTGTAATCCTGCCACTTTGGAAGGTCGAGGTGGGAGGATTGCTTGAGGCCAGAAATTCTAGACTAACCTAGGTAACATACACCAACAGAAACCCCATCTGTACAAAAAATTTAAAATTTAGATGGGCATGGTGGCTCATGCCCGTAGACTCAGCTACTGGGGAGGTTAAGGCAGGAGGATCGCTTGAGCCTGGGAGTTGAAGGCTGCAGTGAGCTATGATGATGCCGCTGCAGTCCAGCCTCGGCCACAGAGCAAGGCCCAAATCTCAAAAAATAAATAAAATAAGGGCACGTGTGGTGGCTTACACCTGTAATCCTAGCATTCTGGGAGGCCAAGGTAGTGGATTATTCCTTGAGCTCAGGAGTTTGAGATCAGCCTCAGCAAGACCAAGTCTCAAAAAATAACCAGATGTTGTGGTGGGCACCTGTAGTCCCAGCTACTTGGGAGGCTGAGGCAAGAGGATCACTTGAGCCCAAGAGTTTGAGATTTCTGTGAGCTATGATGCCACGACACTCTACCACAGAGAATAAAGTGAGACTCTGTCTTAAAAATAAATTAATTAATTAAAAGTAAAAATATCTATAATGTGCAAAGCACTGATTCAGTATTTTCTTTCCTTTTTCCTTTTTTTGAGACAGAGTTTCACTATGTCACCCTCGGTAGAATGCCATAGCATCACAGCTCACAGCAACATCAAATTCTTGGGTTCAAGTGATTCTCTTGCCTCAGCCTTCCAGGTAGCTGGGATTATAGGCGCCCACCACAATGCCTAGCTATTTTTTTTTTTGCAGTTGTCATTGCTGTTTAGCTGACCCGGGTTAGGTTTGAACCCGCCAGCCTCAGTGTATGTGGCCAGCACCCTACCCACTGAGCCCAGCTATTTTTTGTTGGAGTTGTCATTGTTGATTAGTTGGTCCAGCCAGGTTCTAACCTGCCAACTTCGGTATATGTGGCTGGCGCCATAACCACTGTGGTATGGGTGAGCCTGATTCAGTATTTTCTGTCTATCAGTTGGATACATTCTAGCAAGGGAGCAAGCACAGAGAAGGGAGGGCTGGATGTGGCCAGGAGAAAGCTGACAATAATGAATATAATAAATTTTATGGTATATTAGAAGTGGATAGGGCCAGGCACAGTGGCTCACGCCTGTAATCCTAGTACTCTGGGAGGCCGAGGTGGGTGGACTGCCTGAGCTCACAGGTTTGAGATCAGCATGAGTAAGAGGTAGACCCCCATCTCTAAAAATAGCTGGGCATTGTGGTGGGTGCCTGTAGTCCCAGCTACTTAGGAAGCTGAGGCAAGAGAATCGCTTGAACCCAAAAGTTTGAGGTGGCTGTGAGCTGTGATTTCATAGCGCTCTACTGAGGGCGACTAAGTGAGACTCTGTCTAAAAAGAAGGAGATAAATGCTGCTAATAAAATTCAGAATAGAACTAGGTAAGGGAGTAGTCTGAGGGATGTGGATGAGCAATGGCTGGGCAACCTGCAGTATAGGTTCAATCTATTTATTTATTTATGAGACAGATAGGCTGCCACAACACTTGGCTATTTTTTTTTTTAATTGTAGTTGTCATTGTTTAGCAGGCCCAGGCTGGGCTCAAACCTGCCAGCTCCGGTATATGCGGCTGGTGCCATAACCACTGAGCTACATGGTGGTTCATGCCTGTAATTCTAGTACTCTGGAAAACTGAAGTGGGTGGACTGCATGAGCTCAGGAGTTCAAGACCAGCCTAAGCAAGAATGTGACCCCATCTCTACTAAAAATAGAAAAACTTTGGCTCAGCACCCATAGCACAGTGGTTATGGCTCCAGCCACATACACGAAGAGTGGTGGGTTCGAACCCGGCCCAGGCAAGCTAGACAACAATGGCAGATGCAACAAAAAATAGCTGGGCATTGTGGCAGGTGCTTATAGTCCCAGCTATTTGGGAGGCTGAGGCAAGAGAATCACTTTAGCCCAAGAGTTTGTGGTTGCTGTGATCTGTGAAGCCCCAGCACTCTACTGAGGGCAACATAGTGAGACACTGTCTCAAAAAATAAATAAATAAAAATAAAAAAATAATAAAAATAGAAAAACTAGCCTACTGTTGTGGCAGGCAGCTATAGTACTAGCTACTCAGGAGGCTGAGGCAAGAGGAATACTGAACCCAAAAGTTTGAGATTGCTGTGAACTATGGTGCCCATGCTACTCTACCCAGGGCAACAGAGTGAAATTCTGTGTCAAAAAAATAGGGCAGTGCTTGTGGCTCAGTGGGTAGTGCACCAGCCCCATATACTGAGGGTGGCGGGTTCAAACCTGACCCTGGCAAAACTGCAACAAAAAAATAGCTGGGCGTTGTGGTGGGCGCCTGTAGTCCCAGTTACTTGGGAGGCTGAGGCAAGAGAATCAC